CCAACATCCTTCTGTTTTCCCCTCCTAGCCTCCTTGTGAGCTTCCCAAAAGCATCTGGTTAGATCTAATCAGACTAGAATGCTGGCTTAAAGGGAGAGCAAATGTTATTTCTTTTCCATTTATCTCAGCAACAAACTCAATACCCTATCACTTCCCTGTTTCATTTTTGAACCATGACTTCCTTTTTTAAAGGTTGCTTAACAATACTTTCAAGTTTGCCTGGTTCATCCATTATTTTGTTGGTTAAAAACTTCAGATGAGTTCCAAATTAGCTCTCTTCTTTGCAAGTGCCTAGGACCATGATGGCGAACCTATGGCACGCATGCCATAGGTGGCACGCAGAGCCATTTGTGCTGGCACGCCAGCTGCAGGCAAACTTACTCACTGCTTACCTCACAGCTGATTTTCGGCCAGTTTGAGGCCTTTTTCAGCTTCCCAAAAGCTTGAGGAAAGGCTTCTGCAGGATTTCAGGCCAAAAACTAGCCCCATTTCATCACTTCCTGTTTTTCCGAAAATACCAGAAGTGACAAAACGGACCTAGTTTTCGGCCTGCAAAGCCTGCAGAAGCCTTCCTCAAGCCTCTGGGAGGCTGAAAAAGGCCTCAAACCAGCCGAAAATTAGCTGTAAGGTGCAGTGCAGGTAAGGTGGCAGCAGGGGTGGGTGGATGGGGATTGTGTGCGCATGCGTAGGGAGCATGGGGGGTCCACATTGCCTTCTGGGTGCTGGCATGCGAGCGCGAGGATGCAAGCGCGTGCACAATTTTTGGCCAAAAAGGTTAGCCACCACTGGTCTAGCACCTCCTAACCAAAGTTCAGAAAATGATTATTGTTAGGCCATAGAATCCCTTGAATCTTGACACCGATGGCTGCTTTCAGTTACTTTACAATTTGTGCTCTTATGATACTTATATCATTGTTTCTGTAGCCAAAACTTAGAGAAACCTCAAGGTTTACCTAAAGGAAAACCCAAAACCCTTCCCTTCACTGAGGCCTTGCTCCTCTGAAAAAGAGCTCACTGAAGAGAAATTCAGTGGGAACAGAACAACGTCAGTTGGGGAGAAAATTGAGGATGAAGGAGAGAAACTGCTTGTAACTCATATGGAATCCCAAACAGGAATGTTCCACACTGCAACCACAATTTGTTGTAGCAACCTTTGGTACAAGAAATGAATATTCTTCAACTATGCTCCCAATTGAAGACAATGATTTTTCCTTTTATATCATAAATATAAAAGCTACAACAAAACGGTGAACTTGTTTATGGATTTATTCTATTAAATCATCTGGTATTTAAGGTGTTATAAAACGTTTTGGTTTCCCCGTCACAGATTTAAGAAACTAAACTGTTGCCATAATTAGCAGCCTTTCCTAGGCTGATGCTATCCAGAGGTACTGGATTACAACTCCATCAGCCCAGCCAGTTCTGCTGATTGACTGATGGAGTCGTAACCCAGAGCACCTGGGTAGTGTCCTCTTAAAGGAAAGCTGCTCTTTAGGTTGAAGGAGAAGCAGACAGACTTATGACTGCAACAGCTGATTTATTGATATGCAAAACAAGGAGCCTAAAGCTCAGAGGCTGTTATGGTGACCAGCAGAGAATTTGTCAGCAGAACTGAGATAGTCTGACCAAGCCAAGTGAATGCAAACATGCAGCCAATTTCCGGAGCTTTCTAAAAATGCATTTGAAAGTGTGTGTCTGTCTGTATAGGCTTGTTTATCTCGACAGCCAGCAGTACCCTCTCGCCTTCCTTTTCCTGCCTATTTGCTTGCACACAGGCCTGCCAAGCAGCGAAGCAATGCAGCGACTTAAAAGCTGTTCCATGCAAAAGGCAGCACAATGTTTTTTTTCATAGAAAATGCTCAGAGAAAGAAAACACTAAGCAATCATTAGAATTAAAAAGAAAAGCTAAGTTAAAATTAGTGCTTTAAGCAAGCTTCTTTTACTGCGAAAATCCAAAGGAAAAGAGAGGGTAAAATTCAATTCTATGGGATGGAGAGTGAAACTGATATAAAAAAACTCAGCCTCAACTATATTAGGTAACATATGGATAACATATCCTTGCAGTATTATTGGAGTAGTCGTTCCAAGTCCAGTGCCCTCCAGATGTGCTGACCTACAACAAGCCTATCAAACTGACGGCCTGCAGGCTAGATATGTCATACACAGGCCATGCCCATCCCAGCTCCGCAAAGGCAAAAAACATCACAATACGTCACAATACGTCCCGTGACGTGATCGACTCCTCTGACCTACAATATCCATCAGTCATGGGAAAGGGGAAATGAGTATAAACTCATTAATCCCACTGGGGACTTACTTCTGAGTACACAGATAATGACAACCAACAAAGGCAAGAACATGTGACACTTTAGAAACCATCATACAAGTTAGTTTCTTGGAATCCTTGAATTATTGCCCAAGTTATTGTCTCCACACCACAAAAGCAACTGGTCCACCTCATCTCTGTAGGCAGACTCCTCCCCCATGGAGATAAGTCCCATTCCTGGAGGAACAAACATGTTAGTCTGATACCACAAAGCAGCAATAACAACAAAAATCTTAAGGCCAGCACTGGCATTCTACTGGTTCGGCCCGGTTCTGCTAAGCCGGTAGTGGTGATGAGCAGGGGAGATCTCCCATACTCACCTTTATCTTCTGCTTTGAAGCGCAGCTGCTTTGCGCGGCACAGAAGTGTCACACAGCAGCTGTTGAAGCGACCAGGAGTGCACCCACCGAACCAGTAGTAAAAGTTTTTTAATCCCACCACTGCTTAACGTATCTGTAAGACTAATATTTACTATGACACCATAGTCCTTTGTAGGTCAAAAAAACCTGTAAGCTAGAATTCTCTGGAAGTTGAAGTCTAAACATCTTAAAGTTGCCAAGGCTGGAAAAAAAACAAAACACTGCTGTACACTGTATCTTTGAAGAAAAGGTGCCAAAGGTACAGGTATTGAGTCACCCTGGATAGTAAGACAGGCAGCATGTAAATTTAATAAAAAAAATTCAAATGCAGCTTCCAGAGTTTTTTAAAGTGCTGTTGGAGGAAGGGGAGGACAAGGTTCAGGTCAAATTCTTGCCATCTTGCCTTAAAAAATGCTTTAAATTCGGGGGTGGGGACCTAACACAACCCAGTCCTACTAAACCATAAGAAGAAGAAAAGCTCCCAGCTTTCAGTGGGCTTGTTACCATGGTTCTAATATTCTGCATTAACAGAAGTCCAGTCCACAGCGAGTTTGTTCAAAGGGCATCCTCTCCACCTTGCACGGAACTCTGCAAAGGTTTGAGCTGCTCTCTCCTCAAGGTGCTCGAACTGGACTCGCTTAAAGTCGGCATTCCGATGCATCCACAGCGGCAATGCCCGAACTACCGATTAAAGGGGCAACCCTGAGAATGCAGGCACCCTACCCACACCCACTTGTAGCGTAAAGGGACCCCGCTAGGCACGTCTGCCCTAATGTATCCTTTGTACAGTACTGGATTGTACTGTTACTTTGGAATAAGTCTCGTTGAACTTTGGCGGGACTCCCTTCCGAAGTTTATATTGTTGCGGCTCTTGCTTGCTGGCTTGCTTGCCAGTGACCGTGCAAAGGCACTGTCTTTTCGGTGCAGGCTGATTGTTTCTCGACGCCGCCAAGCTGTAACGCCGATCGCGTACAAAGCCTCGTATCAGCAGAGTGCAAATACTGCGCCTCCCTCCCCGTTCAATACCTCTTGATAAGACGACGAGTTCTCTTGTCTAATCATGGCACCGGCGAAAAGAAAGCGCAAGGGAGAACCGGATCAAACAGCGGCATCTGTTAAGAGAAGGCGGGCAGCGAGGACGAAATCGAAGAAACAGCAGCGCCGCTCGGCACGCCCCGTTTCACTCCCCGCTAAGTGCGCGGACATGATCCGACCAACGGCGCAAGCGCATGTAACGCACCGACTCCACAAGGTGCCGCTAGCGTATCTTCTTCCACCGCTCAGGCCGTTACCGCGTTTAATGGATTGCTGACACCGGTTGCGGAACCGAAGTAGAAGCGGAAAGGCTGCTGGGAGATGTAGTTTATCATCAAGTAGCGCTCTCTGGCGTCCCTTGAAGCTCTATCCTTAACCGGATACTGGTCGGCCGGGTTAGCCCATTCGGGAAACAGGTTGAATGTGTGAAGAATGTAAGCAGGGGGTAGAGAGGTTATATCGAAGAGCTGCAACAAATTGAGTGACCGGTGACCGTTAATAGTATACATCTAATAAATTTAGCAGTTTAAATAATCCGTTAAATGGGATTTATTTTAATTTATGTGCACAAGGTTGCAGATAGAGTTGGAAGCATGCCCCAGTAAACAGGATTTACATCAAATCCTCAATAAATAGAAAGCAGATTGTTACTTAAAATTCATCCTTAATAGTGAAATGTGGCTATCATACCCCAATATGTATAACATACCCTAATATGTATAGCATACCTTAATAATCATACCTGGGTTGCAGACATCCAGCTGAGTAGCACATGGCAGCAAAGAAAGTTTCCTTTAATATGAGACAGCTGAATTCTGGAGATTATTGACAATTCTCTTGATTGGTAATATTCCTGCTAGCCTTAGTAGCAAATGCCTTATTGCTATATACCTCACTGTAAAAGTAACAATGACTCGTTTTAATCACTTAAACCCACTTGTTGCACAAAGATCTTCTGTGTATACAGCTTTAGGGCTTCCAGACCAGTCAATATGATGCTTTATAGAGATTATAAAGTAGGATTGAAGCAAATACAGTATTATACGTGATCAGGCTTTGTTTGCAGTGTTTGAAGAGTTAATAAGAGACAACCAAGAAAACAAAATCCCAGCACATTGTACTTGCGAAGTGTTAATCAAGCAGTCAGCACCTGAGCAGTTAAGAAAAAATAGGTATTTAAATACACTGCTCAAAAAAATAAAGGGAACACTTAACCAACACAATGTAACTCCCAGTCAACCACACTTGGTTTTGTTTTGAATAGCTGAAGGACGCCTCCCATCCCGGAGTCATCCATAGCTTGTTCGAACTAAGCAAAGGGAAGGGGGCTGGAAGGACTCTCCCTGGAGCAGCCTTCAGGATGAGGCGACGTATAAACGAAGTGGAGGCATAGACGAACAACGCGAGCACGAGGAGCCCCGAGAAGGCGTTTCCCTCGCCAGCCTCCGCTCCCAGCCGGATTTGGAAGCCGTCTGCCTCCCGAGAGCCATGGCCCAAGTCCTCCGCCTGGCGCTTGCCCTACTAGCGTTGACCCACGCGGGCCCGCAGGAGGCGCGAAGTGAGCAGGAGCTCCGCTTCAAGCCCCCGCCCTCGCAGAGACCGGTGCGGCTCTTCACGGAAGACGAGCTGGCCAGGTACGACGGACACAAGGTAAGGCAAAGCTTTCGGAAAGGCTCCCCCTCGGCGGCCGGGCTGGTGGTGGTTGCGGGGACGGGCCTTCTAGGCAGCAAAGGCCGGCTCGAGCCGCTTTTTCGGGGGAGGGGAGGGGAAAAGGTCTTTCCTCGAGAAAAGAGGTAGCAGAAGCGACCTGTTGGGAGAGAGCTGCGCCCTCTGGACGCCGTTGCAGCAACACGACTGGAGCAGTTCTGCGCGTTTTGATCCCGCCTTGGAGCTTTCGGCCGAAACTGACCGAAGTTACTCTGCGGAGGGCGGGTTGGGGGGGGCTCCCGGGCTGTAATCTCTTTGAACTCGGCGAAGTTTGTTAGGCAGCATATTTTGTTTTGATAAGCCGCAAGAAAGAGTAACGGAATATTTCTTGTACAGCATTAAAGCACGGCTGCCCAAAATGGGATATCGCGCGTTAGGACAAAGGAATGAGGTTTCAAACTGTTTCCAAAACTTGGTTGTTGCATCTTTTCCTTGGTCTTGTGGTACTGCAAATCTCACACACACACGCGCGCGCGCGCGCGCACTTGTGTAGAGTTGGACTGCAAGGCAAAAGTCAGTGCATATAAGGTCTGCTTTGGAAAGCCCTGGCATTTTAACTGGAAAATGAGTGCCTTTCGTGTAAAATTTTGTTCCTAAAAATGGCCATGATTAAAAACCCCACTAATTCTGGATTCTTTGGGGTCTTTAGAAGGATGCTCGTGGCAACATGGAACTTTGGGTTATACTTTTGTAATAAAAAAGCAATTGGCAACATAAATACCTTTGTGGAAAACTAGACAGTTTATCATAGGGACACTTAACGATAAAAGAAAACCTTTGTAAATATTAAAGGCATTTCATAATGTGTATGCAGTAGGTTTTTGCATGCTGTTCCTCTTCATTTACAAACATGGGACTTTTGTACCAAAATGAATAATTATACCTTAGTAATCAGAACTTTCATTTGCATGTATTATATCATAATGGATATAACCTCTATTTTTATTTCATTAACAAAGGAATTTGATGTAGAAATTTTCAGAAGCAGTGAAACCAGGGTTTCCAGCTGCATAAAGTATGACACTGAGCAACACAAGTTATCATGGCAAAAAGTAAATATATTTTGGTTGTAGAGTTAATCAACCACATCTGGAGAACCACAAATTCCCCACCTATTAACCACCACTCTAAATCTAGTATTCAGTGCTACAGACTTTTCTTTTTATTTACACCAATTGGAGATTTCTCTGCTCAAGTTTATTCTGTAGACTTTCTTTTTATAGCATCCCTTTGTTAATGTGAACAGCTTTTCTTCTTTAAAGACAAGAACCTTCAAGTTCTAGTTAAGTGACTTTTGGTTTTCTTGAAAAAAAAAGAATGACCAGGTAAAACAGTATGCTGTTGGCATTTCTTATCAGTACATTTCATGATAAAGTATATACATTGTACTTTCAGGAGGATGAACCTATTTATATAGCCGTGAAGGGTGTGGTGTTTGATGTCACTTCTGGAAAAGGTAAAATCACCTTACAAGCAGAATGTCGTCCCCCCTCCCCCCAGAATGGTTCACAATAAGTATATCTTGGTGTTGTCACCTCAACCATATGGCCCTTTTAAAGAGTAAAGGCAATTGCCCAAGCATATGCTGAAAAAAGTGTTCCTCTCATTTATAAAGGCTGCTAGTTCCCCCCCCTCCCCAGATGTTTATTATCCTTAATTCCCAGAGCTGGATAGCCTTTATAGTTCTTGAATTTCAGTTCCTATCAGCTCCAACCAATATGATCGGTGACCAATCCTGGGACTTGTACACCAACATCAGCTAAGGCGGCCACAGATTGCTCACACCTGTTTAGAAGGACAGTACTTGTGTATAATGCCAGATTTTACCCGTTCAGCAGCTCTTGGCGCTAATTTCATCTGAAGAGTAACCTAGATCTTTTCCTGTCTTTGCAGCAACCTCGTAGCAGCTATGTAGCAATAGTTTCATATATTTGTAAGAGTCTAGTGCTGCTGCCCCAGGGATATTCATTTTGCCACTGTTTAAAACCAAAGGAAGCAAGTTCCTACTTGCTTTCCAAACCTCAGTTATTTCTGCCTGGTTTGCCTTTACTCATTGAAGTGTTCAATTTCAAACCAGGGTTCTGGGAGGAAAATAAACAGTTTGAAAACTATTGCTGCTTCAAAAGATTCATCAACCAAATCCAAATCTGAATAGCTCACCTCAAAATCCCATCTGATCACTTTTAAACAGTTTTAATGTACATCCCTTCACATAATGCAATAAATCCATAGAGCAGTAGGGATGAGTAGTCCCCAATATCAATATACCTGTAGCCATATCTTATCAGTATAGAGAGTTGGTGGGAAAAGGTGCTTCACCACATGGTTATTAAAAAGGGAAATAAGTAGCATGTATTTCAAAAGTATATGGCAAATAGCTTGGAATGGGCAGTTGTATAAGGAAAGTTTGGGAATCCAGTTATTCAATTCCTGTCACTCGTGACATAGGATAAAGTTTTGGTCAAACACTGTATTTTTTGGAGTATAAGACGCACTCCCCACCCCCCAAAAAGTGGGTGGAAATGTCTGTGCATCTTATACAGTGAAAGCGCCCATTTTTTGGCCTGCAGAGTGCCTCTGGACGCCGGGGAGGGCAAAAACAGGATGCAAGGAAGCAAAATGTTTATGGTTGCCTTTTTCAGTTTGATATTTTCCAAGTCTTTTGGACAACAGCTCACAGAATGCAGTCTAGCATTGGTTGCTCCCTGGTTGGAGAGACTGTGTACCTCACACCCATTTTTCTTTATTTCCCTTTCCTTTTCTGATCACCATTTCACTCTCTAAACTATCCCTTAAGATTACTGACTGTTTGCCATATGCCCACTTGTTCTGTGTGTTGTTGTTAAGGCTTCAAAATGTTGGAGGATTTCAGTAGTTTAGGATGTTTATATTGTATTAAAGTTGGTTCAAGACAAACTGAGTCATGAACGTGTTTCTCTTGTTACACAGTTGAAGATAAGACATTTCATGCTTACTTGTTTTAGAACTTTTTAGGGGCTGGCATTATGCAAAGCCAGGATAAAACAAATCAATCTCTGGAAATCTCAGTATATAACAACACTTTATTCTAGGCTTGTGAACAATGAAGTCCCTGGGATGTAATTTACGATAGCTGTTCTTAAAACAGTGTAATCTTCAAAATACCTCTCTCTCTCTGTCTGTGCATGTGCGTGCATGAGAACAAGCGAGCCTAAGGATTTTAAGTCCTGTGCTTAACTGCTATTTGTGTTATTTTTCTCCAACAGAATTTTATGGGAAAGGAGCACCATACAATGCATTAGCTGGAAAAGATTCAACCCGAAGTGTTGCAAAAATGTCTCTTGATCCAGCAGATCTCACTTACGATACAGTAAGAAAAAGATCTTTTCACCATAGCTTGATCTGAAGCCACAATTAAGAAATGGTTTTATTTGCATGTGATTTTATTGGTCCTGGTGATCTGATCCAAGTAACAGGATCATTGAAGATGGTGGGATTGGGGAGGGATTTAAAAACAGAAAAAGTACAGAGCTCTAAAAAACCTGGTTCAGTGCAATTAGTAGTCCTTTGCATTCAGATTACGTAGCGTGGAAGTGTGCAATAATCATTGTATTTGTTCTGTCTACCCCTCCCCTTTCCATCTTTCTTTCTTTACATAATTGCAATTCATTGAGATGGGACTCACAGAAGAGCAGTTGCGATCTCTGGATGAGACCTTTAGTAATGTTTACAAGGCTAAATACCCTATTGTTGGCTACACTGCCCGAAGAATTCTCAATGAAGATGGCAGCCCTAACCCAAACTTTAAACCTGAAGATCAGCCACATTTCACTATTAAGGATGAGTTTTAACAATAACTTGGCAATCCCATGACTACTACAAAGAAACAGGAAGGTATCTAAAAACTGAAAAATATAATGTACCTAAATGGCTTCATATCTCTGAGGATGATTGCTTTCTATTTTATCATGCTCTTACCATTGGTTGGTTAGTAATATTGATATGAATGATAAAAGTATAGTGTATGTGTTGAAATTGTTTTGGCCAGCAAAGTGTTCTGTTTCATCATCAGTGGAGAAATTATATTTCATTAGCCAATTATTTGGCTAAAAATGCAAAAGCTTAAGAGAAGTGCAGGATCAGGTGACAAGGAGTCCCATGTTCATTCTCAATGAACATTTTTTATTCAAACTCCTCATGGCCATATAAAACATACAATTTGACAAACCATCCTGCTAACAATTGGCTATTAGCAATATCCAGTTGACTCTGTGATTCTTGATGAATGTTACCTGTGCCTTCCAACGCAGTGGGTTCTGTCCATCGGTCTGTATGAACTTTGAGGGAGTTTCCTTTGAATGTTCTCCCACCAACTGTGCATTATTTTCACAAACTACTAGTAGAAAGTCTGTGACTTTCTGTTACAAAGTTCCCTGCTTTGTAGTGAAGTCCACAATGAGGAGAGATAGGGCTTAAGTCTCAACAGAGGAGTATAGAGCTGCTGTCTTTAGCAGTAGCAAGGTGACATAGAAAAAGTTTACAGGAAATTAGTAATTCTAACCTATTTTGCATATTATTTTAAGACTGAATTAATACAATTTTATGTAGTATAAGAAACATTAAAAGTCCAATTCTTTATTCATCTTTAGTATTCAAATATATCTGCTTGCCACATAATGTTTACATAATTTTTCCTCTCTTTGAATTCCTGAAAAAGCAAGTCTGCAATTCTGCAGAAGTACAATGTGCACAGCATGGCTTGGGTAGCATCTGTACCATCCTAGCTTTTCACTAGTTCTCCTGATGTCCAATAATAGTCCAACTGGAAGAAATAAGTTATTGGATACACTAACCAGTGACTGTAATAACTCTGTGGATCTGATATTTGGTACCTCATGTGTATATCTGATTGTATTCCATTTGTTACTCCTTTCTTGTGAGCAAAATAAAATAATATTAAGACTCAAATCTACCTCATTAAATGACTTTGGACATATCAAAAGAAAGTGTCTCATTTGATAACATGTGATATTAATTATTTTTGCCTTGACATGTCTTTTTTCCTTTTTCTTCTTAAAGCAAGTTTCAGTCCTGTAGGTCAGTTTGAGAAGCACTTTGAAATGGGTTGAATGTTCTCTTTCCCAAGTGATTTTTAGGCATCAGACAGATGTACTAAAAACTACAGCAGCATATCCTGGCAAAAAAACCCCTCATTTTGTTAACCAGTAGCCAGTTAAGGTCCATACATCCCTATATTTGCTTTAAAATACCTTTTGCAATTATTTGATTACAGTATTTATGAAATAATGCTTTAGCCTAAGAAATTGGCTGTCTCCACACATCACTGGGTAGCCCTGCTCTCTGGCAATGCTACATTTCAGCTGTTCTGGAGGACCCCCCCCCCCATTTTTTTTACTGGCTCCATCTTGCTATTCTCTTTTCAGACATTGGGAATATCTTGGAAGTTATCACATGCAATTCTTTTGCAATTCTCAGGAAGTTGAGTGAATTATTTATCTTTATTTGTCCAAGAGGAGACAACCAACCATTACTCAAGGGTGGCAATGTCTCTTAGTGGCAGGAGAGTTGCTTTGTAAAATTTCAGTTTAGAAAAGTTTTCCTATTGATACCTTCCCACAAGATTTAACAGAAGTATGGGAAGCCAAAGAATATATGATGGAAGTGCAGTGAAAGATTATTCACATATACTTCTTGGCTACCTCATAGTGAGTGCAAAACTTCATACTCCACCCACTAACATCTTCATGGAAGTGCTCTTCTACTTCAAAGAAAGTTTGAAAACAAATTCCATTTATCTTTCTTGTCCAACTGAATGAAAGCTGATATGAAATTATGCAGAGAATGTAGCTGTAATTACTATTTGTACTGTTTCAGTACAATTTCAGGAAATGAACATGAAGCAACTGTTTCCATGTTAAATCCACCCCTTCTATGATATGCATTCTCTAGGCTCATTCACATATCAAGAAACATAATTTAAATTGCAAAAATTTGTCTGTTTTTACTAGGAGGCTTCATGGATTTTAACACTGAGAATGATCAAATTTGAGTAGGGCATTAATATGTTTCATTGGGTACATGAAAACAGAAATTGGAAACAAGATGATAGAGTTGCTACATCTTATCGACAAAATTAAGTGCTATGTTCTTTTTTAAAAACAAAATCATTATTTGCAACTAGGAACAATGTGCATATATATTCAAGCCACTAGAGGGCAATGCCACACTACTAGAAACAACATAGCTGGCAAGCACAGTAATTGGCACTTGGTAAATGGAAAGACCCAAATTTCTTCAAGTGTTCTGTTAAAACAGTAGAATAATAATGCATAAAGCCTTTAGTAAGTACTTCCTTGGACTACCTTAGCCACCACAAGAAACATGCCAGAAGAGACATCATTTCAGTTTATACCGTAGTAACCTGCTTTAACCCAGAGTGCTTAGATGTGTCCCAGAAACCAGAGCTGTAGTCATGTTTGTGAGCCATATAACGTGCAGTCAAACAACTTCCTGAGATTTCAAGTAGAAGAAGAAGCCACACAGGTGGAGGAGCTGATACTTTATCAAAGTGTTACCCAACTTCTTTACAACTTAGGCATGTTTACAATAACATGAACAAGAAAAAACACTCAAACATTATAACACCTTTTGTCGAGCATTGTCTAAACATATTTCTTGATAATGAGAAAATAGGAAGGTAAAAATTCTTCAGTTACTGCACGTTGCTCTTGAATGTCAAATGATCCATCACACTGCTGAATCACATCTGCTTCCTTTGCATTGGAATATATCACAGGGCAGCCAATTGTGGAATGAATAACTTTTTCCAACTTGCTTTTTTTCTTTTTTTAAAAATTTGGGACTACACTCTTATAATCCCTCCCAGTTGTGGTGTACTTGCAAGAAAAAGACAAGAAATCCAGAACTATCAAGGAAATAAGTAGCAACCCAATCATTGCAAATGCACTTAAGATGTAAAGGTACATCTGCATCTATATTCCACATTTAAATGCTCATAAATGTTTATGAAGATTTGTGTACATAATATACACGCATACCCACTTTCCCCAAATTGCAAATTCCCATTTGTCTTGGCAGCATTTACGATGTATGAATTCTGGCTGGAGATTTCTGGGAGTTAGAGTTCACACATCTTAAAGATGTCAAGGTTGTGAAATATTATCTTAAGGGTAAGGCAAATAACAAATATCTAGATGTTCACCAGAATTTGGACACGCTCTTTGCTTCTGCCCAATGGTGTTTTAAAAAAAAAATTTCAGGTCACAACTGGAAGCCCTAGTTTGATCTAAGCCAGGCCTGTCAAACTGGCAGCCTGCGGGCCAGATGTGTCACTTGTAGGCCACGTCCACCCGGGCTCCGCAAAGGCAAAAAACGTCACGATACATCACATGACGTGATGAAGTTTGACACCTGTGATCTAAGCTCTTAAGCTGAGCCTTGGGCAAAATCCAGTTGCTGCTTTTGAATATTCTTGAGCAGAAGCTCTACCCCTTAGTAGCCCATTATTCATAATGAGTCCTGTATCTTAGGTTGGTGCTCTTGCACCTGACAACACTGTGTGTGTGCACTAGCACACAACAGTGTTGCCTTTTTGAAAAGTACAGTTGGTGTTGCCCTGGATCAGTACAGGCAATAAAACAAATAAGCGAAATCAGATAAAAACCATTGTATCAAAAATGTGCCTAATTTTCCTGCATTTCTCAGGTAATTAATTATCAGAGTATGTTACACAGAAGTAGAAGCCAAGTTCTCTTATCACTCCAGAATAGCAGAACACAGAGTAACGGATTCAAATTCAAGGCTGGCAGATGTCAATTGAATAGGACTCCTCTTCAAAAGTATATTCAATGGGGGATCCAGTTACCCAGAGAGGTAATGGGCTGTCCTATCTTGGATAGGGGAATATCTGTATTCTCCTATCCAAGATTTGTCTAGGATGCTTTAAGTTGGATTTATGCTGCTCTCAGTGTGCATCGAGCAGGAGCCATACTTCATAGGCTAAAGAACTCTTTCCAGCCCCGTGAGTATATTAAACAGGATAGCAGCAAGGCCAGCCACTTGCATATTGCCAATCTGTTCAGGATTATAAGTCAACCTAGTTCAAATTCATTTGCCTGGAATGAACCCCTTTCCTCTTCTGTGAAACTTGAAAATGTACGTGCTTCTCTGCACAAATATATTCCTTTTGACCAAGCTAGGAACACAGGAAGCTGCCTTATCTATGGATTGTTTGGTGAGTGCAGGAAAGCTCACATCACACATAGTGATCTTTACAAGGGGGCAATTCTGATAAGTATGTTCATAACAGCATTCAAGTCCATTGTTCACCCAGTTCAGAAGTATCTACACCACAGAGCTGAATGTAGATCAGTTCCCAACCCATTTCAGTTTCACTCCTTCCTCACAAAATACTCCTTTGTCACTTAACTTTGTCACTTAAATGGCTAGTCCTTGATTTATGACTAGCCATTTAATTTATGACATGTTTTTTAAAAAAGCTATTTATGACCTGTCCTTAGCGATGACTGTCATGTCCCCAGATCATGTGATTATAGTCTGGGGCTTGTGGTAACTGGCTTGCATTCATGACTAGCTGCAGTATTCCATGGTCATGAGAACCCACATTTGGTGACGTTTTTTGCCATTTTCCAACCAAAAGCAAAAAAAACCTACGGTATACAATGGATCTGCTTAAGAATCATGTGGTTTGCTTAACAACCACATGATTCACTTTACAACCTCAGTGACAGCCATCATAAAAATGGTCATAAAATCATCCAGTCGCACGGTGCCTCAATTTACAACTGCAATGACTTATGACCAATACCCTAGATTTCATTGTGGTAGTAAGTCGAGGTTTAGCTGTAGAGAATCAAAGATTATTAAGTCCAGGAAAGATCTTTTGCTGCAGTCACTGGACTCAGAATAGGTTAATATCTGAGAACTCTTCCTTGGACTCAGAGGTAGTTCTTGTTTCAAACCACAGAAACTGGAACCGGAATTTCCATCATTAATCAATGTGGTTATAAACCTCAACATCATGTGACCACATCACTTGGGGATGGCAGTTCTGGCACTTCCAGTTGCTATTGTTAAGCAAATCCCATGATAAGAGAGAGGGAGGGAGGGAGGGAGTACAGTCCCCCAACTGAATTTTCTCTGCTGGTCCGCTTTCCCACTCCGTTTCACTGCTGAGCTGATGAAAGTCATGCAACCGGAGGGAATGAGAACCTGGAGTGAGATACAGAGTCTGATGCAAGGGGGATGACTCGCAGTTTTTGTGTTTTCCTTTTTCAGTGCTGCAATATGTACCAAACGTGCAAAACAGATGTAACCCTGTGCAAGGCTTTTAGGTTTGGTGAAGGTTGATAATTTGAATTCCTGCTTCAGCACTGAGTCACACGGTAGAGAGGGGCCTTCCTGAGAAGCTGGGTGTGGGTGGGCGTGCATGCTTTGGAATGTACAAACATATATACATACACAGACTTCAAAAAATAGTCCATCCTGACTTGTTATGAAATCTAATCTTGTGATGGTAATATTTATTGTTTCCTCAAATTGAAAACAATACCCAACTTAGATTTTGAAAGAACAAAACTCGGGAAAGGCAGTTTTCAATTTACAGATAACCAAGGAGCTGAAATTTTTTTAATACGGTGCTGTTGTATAATGTTCTGCAGAAAATGATAACAATCTTCCAGAACAAAGTGCTTCTGATCCTATATACATATTTGCTCAGAAGTAAATCTTATTTCTGTGAGACTTGTTCATACCTAACATTTCAAGTATACTGTTAATTTGGTAAAAAAATATACCTTGTTGATTTTATTGTTGATAGATTATTTTTAAAATTATAATTCTGGTTTATGAGTAAAGCTGATTGCTATTTGGAATTTCTTGAGAATTTGCCATGCAAGATTTAACAGGAGACTGACACTCCCCACTCCACCTAGCTAAAGT